ATAATTAAATGACTTTAAAATATTTTCACAAAAAAAAAAAAAAAAAAAAAATCAGGAATTAAATACTTATTACAAATTACTCCATAACAGTTGATGGGAACCAACCTCCGTACCCAATTGTCTGTCTACTGTTGTAGGCACCTGCAGACCACTAAACTATGATTAACCAATTTGAAAACGTCTTAATAAAAAGATATATACAGATCAAGTTGACCTGAAATATAGAGCTTAACGGATTACAAATGGATACTCTCAACTATATCAATAGAAGTTCGACGTATATCTCACGTACACTAAATGTACAATGTCCTTTAATCTCGCACATGTGAGATCCCACGTCGGTTGGAGAGGAGAATAAAGCATTTCTTGATGGTCCATATACTACCCCAAGAGTTTGCAGGACAAATAGTTGATAGACTACATGCAACACCAGCTTTACATGAGCAATCCAAACGTCTAAGTTGCGTGTTGAGCAGCTAACATGTAGTCTTCGTTACCATTCTAATTCACATTGTAATGACTAGACATTAAAGGATCAATGTTAGTTGCCAACATGATGAACTGTCTTAAATAACCTTCCTAATAACTTAGACAACATTGTTAAACACAGGCTGGAATAACAACAGGACTTGCTTTGGATTGAAGTCGCATACAATCCAACTCCTGCAGAAATTGAGCATATTCAAGAATTAGAGAGAACAGAAATTGTATTCTCGTTTGAGAGTGATTTTCAAATGATTAAATATCGCTTCGAATCATGTTTTTAATCATTCCAATCAATTTGATGCCTGATTTTGAACTTTTAAACACGATTTTCATACCATCAAAACTGATTTTGAATGATTAAAATCCTATTTCAGAGTGGACATGACAAAATATAGCTGGAACAGTTACAGTGAATGCAAGGGCAAATGTATGTATGTAAATGTATATGTATGAATGAATACTAACTCGTACAGCTGAGGAAGATTGGACTTCAAGTTTTTGACTCAAGAGATTTGGCTGAGGCAGCACTTCGGTTGATGAGAGGCCTGCTAATGAACAATGAAGCTGATGGTTCGATTTTTTAAGCTTTTCCTGCTTCAATTGTTGCTCAAACAAGGCAAACTCCTCTGGTTTCTTCCACTAAGGACCAATTTTCAAAGGTATCTATCATAAATTGCACCACAAAATAGGAAACAACCGTGGAAAGGCGGATGGATGAAGACATAAAGCTTACCATAGGTGATACAGTTATAATAGTATTTGAAACCGTCTGGGCAGCTGTGTTCACTCCAATCACACTCCAAAGGAACTTCTACCCGAGAGCTTGGACGCCTCCGAGGTGATTTGGGAGTACCACTAGAGGTTTGAACGCCACGTGCACTAGGAGGCTGCACAAGGGCATAAATGAGAACACACACAGGTTACCATGACAATATGACATTAATGACCTCTTCAGTAATTATCCGCACAGTCAAGTTTCAACCTTTTAGGATGTCAATCATGGCATAATCTTTTACTTCAATGTAACTACAAGGATTTTATAATTCAGATCACCTTCATACCGTATTCTCATGAACCTGTAAATTCTGCTGCAGATGTGAATCTTGCCAGGGCTGTTGACAACGCTCCTGATTCTGCATCTTAGAAAAATCAGTCTACATTGGAGGCTGACAAGCTCGCTGTGTTGCTTGCATTGGTTGAGATGAAATTTGAACAAAAGACAATGAGGGTTCTTGTATTTGGGGGGGTGGTTTCTGTACAGCATTAGAAGCCAAAGGGGCATGGGATGCCTCTTGGGAAGCATTCCTTGGTGATCCTAAGATTGTAGAATTTTGTTGTCCAGGATATGAATTATTAGGAAAACATCCTCCAGAAGGAGGACCAAGAGGAGGCTCAGGTCTAGAAAAGGTTAAACCAATAAGAAAACAATTTATGTTATCAAATTAGACAAAAAGGAACGGAGTACACGATATACCTAAACGGTTGAGGAGGATGACCGAATCTCACTCTGCCTGAAATGTTGTTGCCTCTGTTGAGAGAGAGAGCTAGATGTTTAACGATTGAATAGTGACACAGCCAACAAGAATAAAAAACATAAAACAATAGTTATCACGCCAAATAACCTATATTATATCTGTATATCATGCAAACGTATGTATGGTCAAAATGTTTGTTCGACACATCTATGAAACATAAACGCCTAACGCCATGATATAAAAAACTAATTATTGTTAGCTCATGTCGCAGCAGTGCAAGAGATATCCATCTAGAGGGTTTGTCACATTCATACGGGGAAACAGATGATATCATCGGCAGCAGGCTAGAGCATAGCATCAAGACATCGATAGAACTACTCATTTTGGTTCACCACCCTTAAAGAAATGAACATTCAAGTTGAGAGGTAGCGGACTCGGGGGAGGGGGAGCATACAAGGTTCAGGCGAGTTGGTGATGAGATAATTGAATTATTAAGGGGTTCCCTACATAAAACATAAAAATAAAAATATTGAAAAGAGCCAAGTGATGAGGTAATTGATTAAGGGGTTGCCTCTTATGGGAAACAATCAGAATCATGTGCACCTTGGTCGTGCAATGCTCAAAACATAGAATGCAAGAACGAAGCAGACAACAATGCTCGCTTTGCAAAGTGAATAGCCTTGCTAAGATGCAAATAATACAGCACAGATAAAGAAGAAATACGTCGAAGTGATGCAACGGGAAGTCAGAAATGCCAGAAACTTACCAAGGCGGTCTCTTTCACTATCAGCATATTTCACATTCATAGGTGTCAGTTCCTGTTATAAAAAGAATGATAAGAAAAGTTATTATGACATCAATTGAGTTACCTACATATTATAAGAAACAGCAAAATGATTCATTAGTCATTTATTGATTTATTTTGATCGGAAACATACTTTCAAAATAAGAGCAAAAGTGTTCCATACAATATGTTCGTCAATCGGCTATAAACAATAACTCACTCCAGGAAAAGTATACTGATTGTCCAAAGCACTGGTTGCCCTGTCTGCTTCAACCAAGGTAGCGTATTTCACAAAGCAACTACCTGAAGAGGAAATCATAGATCTGCTTTAATATTATTTTTATGAACGACAGCATAAAGCCAGATGCAGTAACCAGAATCCATTTGGATCTTAACAATAAAAGATTATTCATATATACCGAAGCTGTTTTTTAGAACTGACATTTCAGACATAGAACTTCGATTAAAGATGATATCCAAGAAGCATGATAAAGTCAACTTAAACATAAATAAATAAATAAACAAGAATTAATAAGTGTTTCTGAGAAATCAAGAAGGAATAAGATAACAGTGATCCAATAAATTAGAGTTTGCATTGACAAGGGGAAGCTTCACTTTGGTAGTTTTTTGAAGTACTTGTCGGGATATATTGTGTTATCCAGAGTGTCCTGCTTCCTCATTTCCAAAAGATAAGGTCGTCACCAGACTCAGTTTTTGCTTACACTCCGTTCAAAAGTATTGTAAACAAACCAAAACATGAGAATTCCACATAATTGTACGCCAAAAGTATGAAGATCAGAAGTGAGCATATAGATACTCGAGTCAACCCATTAAACGGCAGAAGGATTAAATGGAATTAAATTTAAAACGAACAAAAGACCTTTCTGTTGACCAGTTGATCTTGACAATATCTCCATGGACTTCAAACAAAGAACGAATCTGAAACAAAATTTTTAATATTTTTCAGTTATGATCAATGACAAGAGATAAGATCATCAATCTTCCTTCCCAAAGAACTACTTGCCTACAAAGCTATATGAATTGGCAAACCGTGGAAATTAAAACTTACAGCTTCTTCGGTTCCCGTTCGGGGAACTTGGGCAACATACAATTTCACGAGGCCACTAGCCTCAGCATGATCTGAAATGTATATATCTCAATGACATTCATTCTAAACAAATTGCTCCAAAGAAAAGCAATATCAGATAGTTGATGAACTAAAAAGTTTCCCTGTGCCTTATGTTAAATGATGGACAGTAGAATGAGTATTCTGATGTTCTTAGAGTAGATCTCGACTTATTGCTTTAAAATCTTGGAATTCTTGAAGAAAGATAGTTGGCTGAAAGTAGCTTTTGATGAATTAAGAGTGCCAAAGACAAAACTTCTAAATTGAAAAAAGCCCAATAAGGAAAACAATGTGAGCTACATTTTCTACAATCTATAAGAGAAATCTTTAAGTTCAGTTCATAGTCGAGCTGGGAATGTTAAGCTCAGCTACGACAGGTAATTAGCTCAATTAGGATTAGAAGTGCAAGATACATTCCACGTTCTATAATAGTGTAAAAAAAAAAGAAGAAGCTATTTTCTACGTTTCATGTTTCTTCAAACATTAAATACCTGCAGGAACCGTTCTGTCGGAATGGATTCTGGGCCTTTTACGCCCCAAATTTGCATTCTGATCCCCACAATTCGCCCTCAAACCGCCGTATCCAAACCTCTCACTCATCTCGCCGTTAAAGTGCGGCTGGGGACGATAATCCGGGGGATGATTGTGGAACTCTGGATGGTTCCAGTTATTCTGCTGGTGCTGATACGGCTGTTGGTGCGGTGGCGGGTGCTGGAACGGAGGCTGTTGCTGCGGCGGTGGTGGCGGATGGTGCGAGTACTCGAATTTCTGGACTGAACCCGACTTCTCTTATCCCTCTCCCCTTAACTCTCGTGCGTGGTAGGGTGGGGCTCTAAAACACCATTACCTGAACCTCCTTTTCCTTTACTGTTCTAGAATAAAAGGAAAGAAAGCCAGACGAAACTCCTTATGCATTCTCCTTTTCCTTCTGGAACTGCTGGCTGAACACCCATTTATTCATTGTCGTTTGGGGGATAATTAGGCTGGCCAAAAGGGGGTCCGGGATGGTGATTGGGGTATTGAACATAAGGATCAAACTGGTGGTTGAAATTGGGGCAGTGGTCGTCGGAGGGCCATGACGGTGCGGGGCGGTGGCTCTCCAGAAAATTTAGTCGAGGCCTGAAAATGATGAGGCGATTGAACGTGGAAGACGAAGACAAACGATGGGAGATGACAGAGAGATGACCACGAAAACTTCGGTGCGGGTTTCCGCATAAGATCATCTGGAAAATACCCTTATCCATCTTGACCTTGAATTTCCAAGTCACCGGTACACATTTTTTTAATTTTGTAAATAACAAACATGTTTCAAAATAATTATAGATTAATTTTGACGGTCAAGATTGAAAGTGTAATATTAGATATTAAATTAGTTTTGAGTAATTAAAATCATATTATTAGGTAATTTTAAAATTACTCCCAGCGCCTTGAGTTTAGTAGTAGATGAACTTTCCTTATAACCTTCTAGAAACTTCCCGTACGAGGAGTCAACTGTCAATACACCAAATCACAGGGGCTTATACGTAATTTAACCAATACCATCAAACCGTTCAAACCCTATCGAAATCACTGGTTTTATTCCGCGGTAGTTCGGGCCATATAACACGGACCCCCTCCCTCTCCTCCGGCAGCTTCTTCACTCCGGCGACAAGGTATTTATCATTTCCCTTCGTCTATTTCGTCTTGTACATTCCGGTCTTCAGGTATATTGCTTTCTTTCGCTTTTCTCTTCGTTGTTTTTCTTTCCCTCTCCCGATTTCCGCTCCTCCTTCACGTCTACCGGGGTATTTGTTGCCCTCAGCAACAATTTCTCTCTAATTAGCCCTTCTCTTCACCTCCCCTTCTATGTCGCCCTGGTTTTTTCTTTCCGATCTCTATTGGTCTCTTTATCTTTCTCCGACAAACCTTTCTCTTCGTCCCCGCGTTGTTCTTTACATGTTTTCAGTTTTGCTTCAATCTCAAGTTCGTTATTCGTAGTAGCTGACTGTAAATTTATGCTTTGACATTTGATGCTGCGACATTGCGTCTTTGTCCTGATGTTATTTACTAATTTAAGTGTTCAATGTTTTACTCCGGCGACGATGCGTTCCACATTCTCTCTCGCCTTCTTCCGGCCAAAGGGAGTTGTGGCGTTGGATTGCGAGTTGCGAGTAGAAATGAAACCATTGCCCAAGTTATTGCGAGTTAATTATTAACCTATATCTGAACCTAAATGTTAGAATTAGGATATGGGTAACTGTCTGATGGGATACCCAGTGAGATTTTCTTCTCCTGGTTTATTTCCTTCTCTCCGAAAATGGTACTGTTAGCTTTTACGTGCATCTAATACAACTGACGAGGGTTATGAATGTCACTTCATTATCATTAGACATTTTTTTTGAACTTCTCGCAAGTATAACACATTTTCCTTCCTCCATATCTAATACTAGCTGTTTATTTTATTGTCTTTTCCCAATTCAAGAGTTCTTAGTCTGAAATGGGAGATGGGTATTTTTTTCTCACTCTGGTACGCCTAACTTGCCGGTTGACATTTTTCTGGACATTGATTAGTGGTGGTTACGGGTTTGTGGTGATAAAATGCAGGTGCTCAACTGAATTTGCTCTTCTTTTGATGGCGAATTCACCAGATGCGGATGCGGATGATGACTTTAGTGAACTCTACAAGGAGTACACTGGCCCTCCACGATCGACCTCTGTCCCTGCACAAGAGAAGATGAGTACAAACAAAAGGTCTCATGCAGGTTCAGATGAGGAGGATGAACCTCGTGATCCCAATGCTGTGCCAACTGATTTTACCAGTCGAGAAGCGAAGGTTTGGGAGGCCAAGTCAAAAGCTACAGAGAGGAATTGGAAGAAGAGAAAAGAGGAAGAAATGATCTGCAAAATATGTGGAGAATCAGGCCATTTTACTCAGGTATAATGGGTACTATAAACACTTTATTGATCCCGTTAAGTTATTGCACATAGATTTTTCACAACTAGAGAGGAGCTCTGTTTTTTAATCTCACTTGTATCAGGCTGTTTTTGAACTCATTTTGGAACACACGGATAAATCATTTGAGGGGGAGATTATGTTCGTATGATTGACCTTTTAGCATTCTATGAAACAACTGAAATTCCTTCTAGCATATTAAAACATTGTTAAGCTCATTTTTGTACTTTTATTTTGTTCAATTTGTAGTCTTCTTTCAAGTCTATATATAATATGTTTTTTCTGTGGGACACGCTACATGTAAGGATCTGGAACTTGAACGAGAGAAGTTTATTCAATTGCTGGCTATTTAATCCCTAGGAAGTCGAGAGACTTGCTCTCCTTAGCCCACTACTCTTTATATTTTGTTCTCCTACCGGCTCTCTTCCATTCCTTCCCAACTGACTGAACTTCTTGTGTATTAACTCTTGCATGATCATACAACTTCCCTGTTATCCACCAAACCAACCTTCACCTTATCTTGAGGCAGAATGCAGCACATAGCTGACTCACAACTATGAAGGCCCAAGTGGCTTCATGGTTTTTAAGCCGCACACCCAAAATAATACCACTTGATATACCATTCTATTGATGCTGTATGCGCAAAATTGCAAAAAGCTCCATTCAAAATTTTGAATTGGGAGTTGATCATGGAGGCCAAGTAATAAAAAGGTTTCACTTGTGGTCGCACCAATGATGTTACTTCGAAAAAAAAAATTTCTAGAACATATTCACCAGATGATTGGTGAGAATGTCTAAAATATAGTGATTAGGTATAGAATCATATCTTCGATGAAGCATGGTTCTCCATCCAATGTATTCATACAGACGTACATAGGGAGCAAGGATGAGAGAGAGAGAGAGAGAGAGAGAGAGAGAGAGAGAGAGAGAGAGAGAGAGAGAGAGAGAGAGAGAGAGAGAGAGTAGGGAGGGGGAAAGAGAGAGTACATATAATAAAATCTCTACAAGCATTGTCTAGTAGTTGAAAGTTATCTCTCTCTCTCTCTCTCTCTCATGCACACACATAGACGTGTGTGATGTGTGTGTGATTGCTTGCGTGCAAGGGGGAGGCAATGAGAGTATTTGGTGCTTTATGACTTGTTTTAATTGAACGATAATTTTCTTACGAGAACTAGACCTACTGGAACTAATTTATTTTCTTTAAAATCATAACTCTTTCTTCGCATAAAAGTAGAATTCAAGTGGGTTATCATTGTTTTAACTAATGGTACTTTGCAATTTTTGTTTACGTATAGGGATGCCCTTCTACCTTGGGATCAAATCGTAAATCTCAAGATTTTTTTGAAAGGGTACCAGCCAGGGATAAACATGTGAGAGCACTTTTCACTGATAGAGTAGTACAGAAAATTGAAAAGGATAATGGTTGTAAGATCAAGATGGATGAGAAATTCATAATTGTTAGTGGCAAGGACAGGTTAATTTTGAAAAAGGGAGTGGATGCTGTCCACAAGGTAATAAAGGAGGAAGGCGATCAAAAGGGTTCCAGTTCTCGTGTAAGTAGATCCAGGTCACCTGAGCGAAGCCCAGTTGGTTCAAGGTCACAACGCTCTGATGTCCATGGATCACATTCTGGTCCTACAAATGCATCACAATTTCAACCCAGGTATAGCAGACAGGAGAAGGTTGTTGAAAATCGTGTTCGTGATGATCTGCAGAAATATTCAAGGGGCTCGGTTCAAGGTAGGAAAAGCATAGGATATGTTAAAGACATCAATAGAAAGCTGGTAATTCTATGTTGTAGCTTGTAGCTATTCTTTGTTTTCTCCATATTTGTATAAATAATTTTCTCTCTTTATCTCCTTAACAATGTTATTTCTTGCTTATATTTGTTTGCAGCACGAGGTAAGTTCTTCTGTTCAAGCTTATATATGCGACTCTGAAGTAATTTTCAGGGATAGGATCTGAATTGGTCAGGTTGTCTTCAAAACAAAATAATTTTATGAACAGGAATCCGGGTTATTTTTCCTCCTATGGTTTCTTCATATGATTTTATATTTTTATGATGTTCACTTTGGATTTGGCCACGTCATAAGCTAGCATTAATATATTTTAACATTGCTCTTCATTTATTTTGAAGCTTATGGCAATGACAGAGTTAGAGGTCGTTCAAGCCACTCCAAGTCTCCAGCTAATCTGCCTTATTCTGGCAGCTCGTTTAGTTCATATGATAGTTATCAGAACAAGAGTGCATATGGTAGAACCGAAGGATGGGATAGTGAAAGAAGAGGATCTGATTTGCAATCTAGTCGTCAGTTTGAGTATCCAGCTTTTCCCCAGTCTCTTGAAGAATTGGAGATGGAATATAAAAGAGAAGCAGCTGAACTCGGAAAGATTCGTGATAAAGAAGAAGATGAAGAAAATTATAAACACCGTGAGGTATGGATCTCCTGTTACTGCAATCATATATCGAATGACAACTGGTGTATTTTTCTATTTTCCTATGTTGCATTTGGATCTATTTACATGACAAAAGTCCTACATTTCGTTATTTTAATTTCAAATTTGTGGTTTTTACTTATGGTTCTATAAAAAGACTATAAGGGAGATGAGAGAGAACTACACGAAGAAATTGGCTCATTTGAGGGGCACACATGCAAAACAATGGGATGAGTTTCTCCAACTTGATGCCCAAAGGCGTCAGCAACAAGTGCACCAGCAAATGGCCGCTTCAGGTTTTGCTGGTTATAAGCAGCATAACTATTCTGAATACGACGGTGGATCAGTCAATTCCCATTACGAAGGGGCTAATTTAGCGGCCCTCGATTCAAGGAGCAAGTATCAGAATCATATGGAGAATTATCCTTCAAGGCCTCATGGTAATTTTGGGGAGTTCCAGCGTCAGAGGCGTGATGATTACGGGAATGCTTACAAACGATACTAATTTGTTAACCAGGAAGTAAGTTGGTAAGTAGTCTAACCCTTCAGCCAAATTAAAAGGGCTTTAGTTATCTCTATCTTTTTGGTTTGGCCGTATGGCTGGCAATACGTAATCTCCATACCCAATTTCATATTACTCCATAGAGTGCGTGCGTGGACTCAAGACCATGCCCATTAGAAGGTTATTTTGACGTCTTCCGTGTGCAACTTTAATTTACAGCAAATGGCCGCTTAGCCAGCAATAGCTTTAATTTCATTCCAAAATTTTCAGGATTTGGATCCATCTTGGGTAGGCATAATGCATGGAGGAACATCTAATGAAAGGTAAGTATGTATCTTACGATCTTGAACCGAGTAGATAAGAATGGTATGCATTCGTGCAGCCTACTTCCAGTT